CAAATTCAATGCAACATGATCAAACAAAATATATGGAAGGGACAAACATTTCATACAAGAGAATTTAAAAAGTGAGTTAACTTGCAGTCCATATGTTTAAATGGGAAGTAAACTCATTAGCAAATTTACCAAAAAAAATTTGCAACAATGCATCTAAAAATATATTAAATAAACTTGAAAACTATCATCCAATTTGAAGAGAATTGTTAAGAGTATTCGGTGTGATAAATAAGGAATGAAAAAAACCATGAATTAATGTGCTTAACATAGAATTAGAGTGCCGCAGACTCATATACTTAACATGAAAAAGAGAATGCCATGGTCTCTCTCTTCGCCCACCAACCAAGATAGACAATTTTAAATTTTAGACAATAACTTTAATCTTTAAATTCATCATAATAAGTACTTATTAATTATTTTATATATAGTTTTACGTAAAAATATCAATTGGGAGAAATGGACAAAGCAAGTTTTAGCCATTTTTCCCTATAAAGATATCAGCTCGGTAAAATGAAACTAATACAACAACACAATAAAACATTTATCCCACTAAATAGAGTCGGCTACATGAATCCTTTTCTCCATTGTGTAATATTTATTGTCATATTTTCATTTCATTCTAATAAATTCAGATCATTTTTTACACAATATGCCCATTACAACATGCTCAGGTCTTCCTAGGTCTACCCCTGCCTTTCTTAACATAGGTCAAATATAAAACATCTACTCTCCTAATCAGATCATCAAATGGTTGACATTTAATTTGGTCAAACAATCTAAGACGACTCTCCCTAATTTTGCCCGTCACTGGAGCTACACCAGCCCTATCACGAATATATTCATTTTCTCTAAGTGTAAAGCCACTTATTCACCTAATCATTCTCATCTCAGCTACGCTTAACTTAGTTCTATGCTTCTCTTTTAAAGGCCAACATTCAGCGCCATAGAGCATTAAGGGTCTCACTACCATCTTATAAAATTTTACTTTCAGTCTAAGGGATACTTTTCTATCACAAAAAATGCCTAACACGTTCCTCCACTTCAGCCAACCAACTTGAATTCTACTAATAACATCCCCATCTATATCACCATCACTTTAAACAATACACTCTATATCACCATCACTTTAAACAATAGACCCGAGATATCTAAAATGTTCACACCTTTTAATAATTTGATCACCCAATTTTACATTTCTGTCACTAGAGCTAAAACTACTAAAATTACATTCCATGTATTCAATTTTAGTACTACTCAAACGAAGACCTTTAGACTGCAAAGTAGAGCTCCAAATTCAATTTTTTTCTGAGCTTTTTCTCTCATCTTATCCACGAGAAGGAAATTGTTAGCAAATGGATATCAACAGCGAAAAGCATACCCCAAGGTGCATCCTCCTACAAATGTTGAGTAAGAGCATCCATAATTAAAGCAAAAAGATATGGGTTTAAAGCTGATCCCTGATGTAATCTAACAGAAATAGGGAAATAGTTGATCAATCCTCCTTTTGTTCGAATACAAGTAAGAGCTCTAGTATACATATCTTTAATGACTTGAATATAAGTCATATCAACACCTTTCTTCTCAAGAACTCTCCAAAGGATATCTCTTGGAACCTTATCGCAAGCTTTTTCTAAATCAATAAAAATCATATGTAGATCCTCCTTATTATCTCTAAACTCCTCCATCAAACCTCTCAATAAATGAACAGCTTCCATAGTAGACCTGTCCAACATAAATCCAAATCGATTATGTGAAATCTTTGTAATATGTCTTAACCTATGTTGAATTACCCTCTCCCATAATTTTAAAGTATGACATATTGACTTAATTCCTCTATAATTTGCACAATCTGGTGCATCCCATTTATTCTTAAAAATGGGAATTAAAATACTCTTCCTTCACTCCTCAGACATCTTTTTAGGTTTTAAAATAACATCATGAAGTATGTTAACAGAAAATCAGAGAAAGCAATTATCCTAGGACCAATATAAGGATAACCATGACTGCAGCTGTCAACTTATGCGGTGAACTACATGTTGAAGCATAGCTCAAAAAAAAATTGGTATTGTAATCACTTTGTATAGCAAAAAGAATTTCATTGTACACATGCAGCTCTTCGAAATTTTTGTCATCTCTATATATCAATTTATCAAACCATAGATTCAGAGCAGTTTTTATCAGATACTAAGAGAAATTCCAAACCTGCTACCAATAGTGGTGTAAGCTTTCCTCGTGTCATCAATTATCATTAAATTTCTAAGCATACTCTTCCCCCTTGTAATGTTTTTAACAATTCAATGTTGTAAGAGAACAAATGAATCCAAGTAACTGTCAAATGATGTGAGTTACATTAGGCGTAACATAAGATATGTTCTAACCTCCGCACGCCATACGCTTCATTTTAGCCCAATCAGATAAAATATGTTCAAACCTCCACACACCATATGCTTCATTCTGGCCCAACCTTGCATGCCCTTTATCTAGAATTGGGGATTTAACCAAATTTATGGCTGCAAATCTATCATATACTTGTTGTTTATCTTGACATTTTAAAGGGTTTAAACTTTTTTTTTGTTGCTCATGTTTGTAAAGACCAACACTAAAAATGAAACCTGAGTAAAACAACTGAGATTATACATGAAAAATTCATTGCTCCCCCTTTTTTCTTTATACAATCCATTTTCTCATTTATTTTGTTCACTTTTACCTCTTGATGCTCTTTCCAAACTATTAATGATTGTGAGCACTACCATAACCAGAGATTTGAATCATACGTCAACTTCAAGAAATCATAGGTACCATTCGCAACCAAAAATGTACCGAACTTCTCTAATAACCTCTCTTAATGTAACCTCTCTTAATGTTCTTTTACATTGAATTTAGTAAGCAACAAACCTTGTGCCAACCCTTTTCTATAATTACCTTATGCTCCACCATTTTAAACGTTATTATGCAAATTTAAAATAATAAAATATTTGGGATATATTTTATACTTAACAGAAATAAGAAAAAGTGCATATGAAGATAAAGAAATGTTAAAATTGATAGTTTTAACACGCCACACAAGCTGAAATCAAAGCATAGCACTGATCTGCTTGTTTGATTTGGAAGAATATCTAGAAATCAAATTACAAGAATGGAGTTAGTTCCAAGATGGATCCACTTTTGTGAAGTAGCAATGTATTTTGATGATAATGATCATCAAATGTTAAATATAAGGAGATAGTGTTTAAAACTGCATAAGTAGCTATGAAGAAAAAGATGCTTAAAGTTATGTGTTTTACCAATGTATGTTCATACTATGATTCACGCATCCTTTTAGACAAATGGTTAGTTTGATATGGTTACGACCAATTTTGATGAAATATGAACTATAAATATGGCAAAAACTAGAAACATGCACAAAAGGACTAGCACAACATAAAACAACCTCATGCAGACAAAATGAAAATATAATGAGGATTTGTAAAGTTGAGTAGGGTTAAATCTAAGGATATATCATGACAATTGCTCTTCTTCTAAGAAATAGTTGAAAAAGAAATATTTGGAAGAATTAATCTGTAATACAAGAATCAGATATACACATAAGAAGATTGGCGCAAAATAGGATTAACATCTCATGTAGCACTCAACAAAAATGAATGTAGAATGAGGATTAATAAAGCTAGCCCCAAGTAGTTATGTAAAAGGTAAGCATGCAATGTTTGCTCCAAAGTAACATGATAAGGGCTTAAAATCAAGCATAATTAAAAAGATTTAGAACATGACACTTTAAGGACTAGGCATATTCATTTATAATTAATTTTGTCACAGTGAACTAATGTTTCACATAGTGCACTTGAAATGCAAATTCAAGACATAGCGCCTCACACTCCTTAAATGTAAGTATCATCATTAAGATATGGCTAATCAAGTTCTTTTCCATTAATGTTCCAAGCAATGACATGAAAATTTTATCTTTATTGAAGCAATAATTCTAATACTGCAAAAATTAATGATGAGTTAGTTTTTTTATGACGATGAATTGACATGAGATGATTTGAAAATTGAATCAAAAGTTAAAGAAATAAAAATGTGTGCTAATAAGAAATTCATGCCAAGTATAAGTACAAGATCTTAAGATTCTAGAGTATTAAGTGCGAGGATGAAAAATTACATATGATAAATTAAAAAAATAGATAGAGAAGTACAATTTCGGAGGAGAAATTTGGATAAAAAAGAGAACATGAATGATAACAAAGATTAAATAGATAGTAACGACAATAGATTGCCCCTAGCCATACATGTTACAAACATAAAACTAAGTTAGGTGTTGTTTAGATGAGAATACATAGGTGGATGAGTGGTTTATACTTGGAGACAAAATGTGAAACCGATATATCCGTGAAATAGTTGGTGTCGTTTTAGTGATAGACAATATTAGAGAGAGTCGTCTTAGATGATTTGATAATTTATCACTCGATGTTCATATTCTAAAAAGTTATTCATCATACAAATTATTATTTTATATTTCATATGTTTTTTTTCTTTTTTAACAACCTATTTCATTCAAGGAGTCACCTAGAGTGATGCACAATGCCCGAGGCATTGGACAACCATATCATCTAAAGAGTATCTACTGAATTTGACAGCACTGCCGGCAACTTGAAAGAATTCTTGCATGCCTTGATATATGTGGCCATCATGAGATCAAGCTTGCACTGTTGGGACAAAAGATGCCAGCAGAAACCCAAATCAAACACAAGGAAATTATTTCGCATCAGGAAGACCAACTGAAATCGATCATCGCCATCTCTCATTACATATTTCTTTCGCTCATACACGATACACAGACCTCTCGTGCTCAAGTAAGCCACACGAATCGGAAAAGATGCACAGTGGCATTACCGTGGCCTAAAAGCCACCCTAATCGATTCAAACAGGCTAAAAAACGCAGCATCATGAGAAAGCGCAGAGAACCAGCAAAGGGAAAAGGAAAGTAAAGCTAATGAGATCCATACCGTCCGTAAGGGGCACCAGACACTCATAGGAGATCTCGAACTGGAAAGGGTTGAGGAATGTGCCGCCGGATTGTCGAGAACGGCAACGTTGGTTATGTTCACTGCGCTCATGGCCGAGACCTTTGATCTGGCAAAACCCTAGAGTGTGTCGAAACCTCTGAGCCAGTGAAGAGATTCGCAGCCAATTACATGTGATCGGAGGGCGGGAAGAAGAGAAGCGCAAAAGGAGGGATCTTTTTGCGAGAGGCGGTAGCTGGGATTTTGGATTTTAAATTCTACCGCTCCCCGTGAATCAACTTCGAAGAATTGCTCTTTTAAAATATCTACTGAACTTGAAAGTTGTGGGTTTTGAAGGTCATTTGTACACAGTAAAATATCTTACAGAAATTTGGCTAAAAAATCACGACTCCTCAGAATTGACTCGCGCTCCGACACAGGTCAGATCTATCCAGATATGAAATATTTAAAAACCGGTTGGCACGTACCAGGTTGCTAGGGGTGGTTACAACAGTGAATTGTGATCCATGCCGTATTGCTTATATTTGGCAAAAATTTTCTTATCTGATTTCTCAAAAAATTCAATCAAAAAACTACATTTTATCACTTGATTTTGCTAAGGGCTCGTTCGACGTTATTTCAACACCAAAAAAAAATCTTTTCAAGACTTGTTTGACCGTATTTCACCACCTAGAAAAGTTATTTCAAAGCTACATTTCACATATTGTACCCTATTCGCAATTTTGAACAGAAAAAATACGGTTGAAATATCATTGCAATGGGAAAACATTTCGAAAAGTTGAATAGTCAAACAAACATTTACGATTTATCCTCTATTTGTAAAATGGGACGAAGCCTATAAATATTTATTCAAATGAAGCCTAAATGTAATGATTACCAGAAAATTGTTGTTTTGACTTTTTGAAAAAAAAATTTAATAATCACCGCAGTGTTGTGACAAAACGACGACAATAAAGCGTTAAATTGGAATGAGAAATTCACAAAATAGAAACGCACAGCAGATCACACAAATTTATGTGGTTCGGCAAATTGTCTACGTCTACAAAGTTGCAGAGGATTTTATTACTCAAGGAATTACATCAGTCGATCACCTCGACGATTACAAGAAAAAACTCTCTCTCTCTCTTCCTCTCTCTCCTCTCCGTGAACCATGCAGGGATAAAGAAAACTAGGGAAAGCTTGAGGCTTGCGATACTTTTCTTGTAAAACCAAAGCTCGAGAGAGATTACTGGGGAAGTTGTAGCATGCCTATTTATTAATTTCATTATGCTATTAAGCACATTAAGGAATTAATCAAATAAGTTTTAAAGCCCATCAATTATTTTCTTTTCTTATCTGCAGCAAATCTTAGATGATGGGATTCATGCAAGGAAAGCTGTAAAAGATTTTAAGGAAGGAATTAAGAACAATTAATTTAGCAATTAATTTCTAGTATCAAATCTAATTTGCTGTCAAACATGAGAAACTGTCAATTTGTATAGTGGATTGGTTTTCATATTCGCAACAAATCTATTATTTGGAGACTGACACAATGGTTGCATCATTCACTAGCTGTGTCGCCCTTTTTCTTCAAACGTGATATTCTCCACCTCTACAACTCAAAGCCACAGTCTTCAAACTAGAAGACCAACTGAAGCTGAGTATAGCTTCAGTTTCTCAAGAGTAACACCCTCACTCAGTCAACATATTAGTGTCATCATAGTCTTGTACCTCCAGACTCTTTTCTGGTTTACTCATGTGTCTGCTTACAACTCTCATTGCATGAGCAATATCCTACCTCTACTAAAAGTCTTTTTCTACAAGTACAGTCGTGTACCTCTTACTGTCATCAAGCTCAGTCTTCACCCGGTACACCCACTTGTTGTGCAATGTCTTCTTCCCTGGTAGAAATTTGTCAGCTCCCAAGCCTGATTCCCTGACAGGGAATCCAACTTCTCCTTCATGGTCAGCTCTCACTTACTTAAATTTTCATCTGGAAAAGTTTTTTTATAGCTCTGTGGTTTTCCACCATCTGTCTGTGGAAGAATAGAAATGGGTGCCCCGAACCCACTCTCCTCGTCACTTCCATTACTGTCTTGCACTGTGACCTTTGGCAAATCAACAAACCTTACCTTTTTATTGTGGTCATCAATGAATGTGGCATAGTAACGAGAGCCTCCAAGAGATGCCATTATAGAAGGTCTCCACACATCCGTATGTACAAGATCAAGTTTTCCTGCCTTTGGCGCTTCGTCGCTTTCCAAGAAACTAACATTCTTCTGCTTCCCCATAATGCAACTCTCACACATGTAAAGATCGACTAACTTCAGCTCTGGTAGCTTTTCACTATATTGAAGTTCTTTCATGCCCCTCTGACACATGTGACCAAGCCTGAGTAAACATGTAGTCATATATAGTGTGTCAGTTTGCTTACTTCGAGCCAGTACTAATGCTTATTTAGTAACCTTCTAGGTGTTATTTGAGAACACTATTTAATGACCACTCTCATTAAGCTGCCCAACAGAAATAATATTTTTCTTTAACTTAGGAATGTACCCGATCTTTTGTAAATTTTATTTGGTCTTATTACGGAGTGCAATATCAACTTCTCCCATCCCTACCAAGGTTAGAGCTTTTTCATCAGCAAGATATACCTTCCCAAAGTCACCTGCAACATAGTTTTGCATGAACTCCCCGTGGGAAAATGTATGGAAAGAAGCCCATGAATCCAGTATCCAGTCGTCAGCAGAGCTATGAACTGCAAGTAATAGTGTATCATGCACTTCTTCAGTTACAGCATTAGCACTAACGTTCTCTATCTTCTTTGGATTTTTGTAGTTCTTCTTTATGTGACCAGTTTTGCCACAATTTAAGGAATTTGCCTTCTGACCAGGCTTTGATTTTGACCTTCCTCTATTTGAGTTTTTTCCTCTATTTGAGTTTTTGTCCCTATTTGAGTTTTTGTCCTGTGATCTCCCTTTGGAATCAACATTTAGTGTCAAACTCGAACCCGGTCTCTTCAGAATCTTTCCTATGCACCTCCTCAACCAAAATTAAATCACGAATATCATCATTTTCATCTTAGATTTAGCTGCAGAATTGTTAACTGTCATCCTCATGGCTTCCCAACTATTTGACAATGAATCCAACAATATCAGCGCACATATCTCATCTTCAAATTCATTTTCCACAGGCAACAATTAATTTGTGATAGTATTGAAATCATTCAAATGTTATGCAACAGAGGTACCCTCCGCCATTTTCAAAATGAATAATTTTTCATCAAGTGCACCATGTTCTATGTCGGTGGCTTTTCATACATACCTGATAAAGCTGTTATGAGATCTGTAGTTGTCCTCTCCTTGATGACGTTGTGGGCAACTGATCTTAACAGACTTAATCGTATAACCCCCCCGGACATATCGATCCAACAAATTACATTCCATCTCGTCCATCTTTTCAGGCTTCTTTCCCAGTAACGATAGGTAAAATTTCTTCCCATAGAGGTAATTCTCTATCTGCATTCTCCAGTAACCAAAATTTGTGTCATTAAACTTTTTAATCTCTGATATCATCACTTCGTCTCCTACCATCGTTCTTCCTTAGATCTAAAACCACATCTTTGATACAGTTGTTGTGAAAAAAATAACGGTAATAAAGCGATAAATTGGAATAAGAAATTCACAAAACAGAAACACACAGCGGAACACACAGATTTACATGGTTCAGCAAATTACCTACATCCATGGAGTTGCAGAGGATTTTATTACTCGAGGAATTACATCCGTCAATCACCTCAATGATTACAAGAAAGAACTCTCTCTCTTCCTTTCTCTCTCTCTCTCTTTGTGAACCATGCGATAAGAAAGAAAACCAGGGAAAGCTTGAGGGTTTCGATCCTTTCCCTGTAAAACCAACGCTTTAGAGAGATTACAAGGGGGTTGTATCATGTCTATTTATTAATTTTATCATGCTATTAGGCTCATTACAGAATCAATCAAATAATTCATGAAACCCATTAATTATTTAATTTTCTCTTTTACAGTAAATCATAGATGGCAGGATTCATGCAAGGAAAGTTGTAGAATATTTAAGGGAAGGAATTAAGAGCAATTAATTTAGCAATTAATTTTTGAGTATCAAATCCAATTTGCTGCCAGACATGAGAAACTTCCAAGTTTAACAGTTGACTGGTTTCCATATTCACAACACGCAGCTTCTTGAATTTTGCAACAACTTTAGAACAGTTGCTTCAGATAACTACAGTTCCCCAAAATAGACCCAAAGTAAGCAACTCATCTACTCAGCACCCCATAAAACTATATAGCATGTCACCCTATCTCATTGTTTTATATAGACATATTTACATACCTACTCCCAATTATTATGTATTAACATAGCGGCCACCTAAACTTCATTTGTTACATTCAAACCACCCAACATATGCTGCAAATGTCGGAAACAGGTGATTTGTTGGTAAAAATTGAAATTTTTGTGAGTGATATGTTAATAAATAGGAATTGGGTGGTAGATATGTGAAGGCCCTTTTATGTATTATTTATCATATAGTGAATTATGTAACACAACGTAAAGTCAAATCCAAAAAACGTCAAACTTGATATTAAGAAACAATACATATTACAATACACAATCTTATACATAAAATCTTGTTTTATACTCCTTGTACTTACATCTTACAAAAAAAAAATCTTTGTGCTACTCTCTCTCTCTCTTCAATTTTTTTTTGTTCTCTACCCTTTCAAGCCATTTTCTTTCAGTAATATTGCCTAGGTGGTGTTAGCCAACAAACAATTTGAGATCTAACTATGTGAAAATTAGATAGGTTAATCAAATCATAATATAGCCTGAACAAAGTTTATCTAAGTCAAAATTTATAAACCATTTAAAAATTTTAGAACTCAAAACTTGTCAAGTAATAAGTGGTGTGGGTTTTGTGGTGCGTTGTAAATATCTTTCAATATTATAATAGACACACGACAACACAAATAATAAATATGCAGTTTAATCACAATAAAAATCACTTCAGTATAAATAATTTAATATTTTAAAATCTTTAAGCTACCAAACCGTATTAATAATGCAAGTATACGTATCGCTCAAGTAATAAAAAGCTCTAATGAAGTTCTCAGTATCGATCCCACAAGGAGTTGGAAATTCTTATGGTTATAATGTAAAACACAATATTCAAATTATTTAGGCTTTTGCACAATCATGTTGTGCAATATAAACCCTAATTTGTTTTAGGATTCTGTGGTTGTCGTTCGTCACGAACCTAAATCCTAACATCTTCTAAGCTATTTGTGCGAGCGTCTCGCATAAATGTAAGTCTTAATTAATAAAATTGGCAGGATGCAACATTTATATAATTCTTTTTGAAATTGAAGTCGAACCATAGGATAACTTAAGAAGTCATCAAGGATCTCCTAAGGA